CTGTCGACGGGAACGTTGAAGCGTCCCGTGTTGGTACCGAGCTTGTTACCGTGACTGAATCAGCCAACGCCGGGGCGGTGAAGATCCGAGTTGACCCTCAAGCCCTTGATGCAGCGATCTATGCTAAACTGAGTGAACAAGTTAGGGACACTTCGAGACATGCCGATGACGACGATCTTGGAGAGGTCGGGGAGGACCCGGCGAGAATGTCGGGGGGTCCCGGAGAAAATGGTGGTGAGCCCGAGGATCCCGAGAAAGGCGTTGAGGGATCTGCCGAGTAGGACTGCTTTATTCCTTTTGTCGCCTTTATGTGTTTGCTTTCGTGTTGCGTGGACCATTCGGTCGGCGCATTTGTTCTAGTTTGGACTTTGTAGTTCGGACGGGGATCGTCTAGTCGACACGTCCCTAGTTTTCCGTGTTTTTATTGTGTTTGCAAGAATCTTTCCCCAGGTTTACAAGTAATACAGTTTGTCTTTTTAGTTTATGTTTTCCGCCTTCCATTACTTACCGAACATTTTTGTTTTCAAATGGGAGGTCGGAGATAAAACTTGAAAAGGGTCCGACCTCCTTTGCGGCAGAACGGGTAAATGTTTTGCCCAGCCTCAGCCATAAAATAAAATAAAATAAAAAAGGAAAAGTTTGTTCAACTGATTTCGTAGGGCATGAATGGAATTTCATTGACCGTACCATCTGTTAAAAGAAATTCGATGAAAAGACATCCTGGACCTCAAGGCACTTTCTTCAGGTTCACAAGTTTTCTTAAATACAAAAGATTTAGATACCAGGACTCTACAAAAATGTTTCGTTTTACAAGGGCTACCTTGGTTACAAAATGTTTTCTGGAAAGATAATGCGAGGATGCTTGTCTTACTTGAAAAATTTTTGGCTGGTCGACACTCTTAAGTTTTGCAATTTCGCCCGGGGAGGTTTCTTCAACGAGTTCAACTTGCAGCACAATGGCTGTTTTTTGCAGAACGTCGGTGCAGAGACCGACTAGTGGCGCGGAGGCCGGTTTTTGCA